ACTGACGGGAGGAGCCGGTTATCGCAGGTGGAGAGCCTCAGGCCCTCACTGGCTGCTGGCTGCAGGCCTCCCTCAGGCTCTGCCACACGGGTCTCTCCAAGAAGGCAGCTGGATTCATCAGCGCGTACAAGCCAACGAGGCAGGAAAGCGCTTTCCGAACCGATGGAAGTCACGATCTTTAGTACCTTAGTCACAGAAGTGACATCCCCTCACTGTTGGCATATTGTTGGTTAAAAGAAAATATTTTGTTAAGTTTATCCGTAAGTGTTTAACTTTGTTATGCTGTTGTACTGTTTTAACTTCAGTTTAACCTCAGAGCAGGGGACTGCATACAGGGGGTGGGGATCACTGGGGCATCGCAGAGGCTGCTGACCACAGCAGGGACCCCGGGGACTCTGGGATTGCATTTATACTCCTTGACCTCTCTGGGTAACAGCGCTTTTATTTATTAGGAATAAAATAATTTCTAGTAAATGCTTTTATTCGGAAGGAGAAATCTAAAAAACCGTGCTCCAAGCTTGACCTTAAGAAACTAGAAAAAGATCCTATTAAAACCAAAGTAGGCAGAAGAAAAAAATGAACATAAATTAATGAAATAGGAAATGGACAAACAATAGAGAAATCAATGAAAAAAAACAGCTGAGTCTTTGCAAAGATCAATAACATTGATAAGTCTTTAACCAGACTGATCAAGCAATAAAGACATGATATAAATTACCAATATGGGGGGGAGAGGGAGCATCACTCCAGACCTTACAGACATTAAAAGCTACTAAAGACTAACAAGTGAGTTTAGCAAGATGGCAGGAAACAAGGTCAATGTAAAAATATTGCTATATTTTCATATAGTGATTTACCCTCAGAAACTGAAGTTAAAACAGTACAACAGCATAACAAAATTAAACACTTACGGATAAACTTAACAAAATATGTGTGAGACCTACAAACTGAAAATCACAAAACATTTCTAGGAGAAAGTGAAGACCTAAACGTATGGAGACAATATACCATGTTCATGGATTGGAGGATTCAATACTAAGATGTCAATTCTAAATTAATCTATAGATTCAATGCAATTCCAATAAAAACCCAACAGGCTTTTTTTTTTTGGTAGAAATTGCTAATTCTAAAATTTATATGGAAAAGCGAAGGACCTAAAAGAACCAAAATAAGTTTTAAAAAGTAAAATCAAGTCAGAGAACCGATATTTCCTAATTTCAAGATGCACTACAAAGCTAGAGTAATCAAGGCACTGTGGTATTGAGGACAGACGACTAGATCACTGGAAAAGAACAGAGTCTAGAAACAGACTCACACATATGGGGTCAGTTAACTGCCGGCAAAGGCGCATGGAATTCAATGCGAAAGGATAGTCTTTTTACAAATGGTGCTGGAACAAGTGGATTCCATGCCAAAGGGAACAAGGACCCTTCAACTCCTATTGTACACAAAAATTCATTCAAAATGGATCACAGACGTAAATTTGAGAGCTAAAACTATAAAACTCCTGGAAGAAAACAAGAGAAAATCATACGACCTTGCGCCAGGCCAAGATTTCTTAGTTAAAAAAGGAGAAAAATATCGACGTGCCAAATTTCATCTAAATTAAAAACTTTTGCTTTTAAGATACCATTAAGATAATGAAAAGGAAACCACAGACTGGGGTAAGATATTTGCAGACTTGTATCTGATAAAGGACTCTTATCAAGAATGGATAAAGAACTCTTGTAACGCGATGATAACTTGAAAAGCAAAAATTCTGCACCCACATTTCACCTAAGAAAACACACGAATGCCTGATAAGCACATGAAAAGACGCTCAACATCAGTATTCACTGGGGAAACGTAAGGATGCAGGAGTTCAGGACCTCCTGAACTGCTAGAGGGAATGGTTTTCTCCTATGTAAGGAAACCTGTACTCACCGTGCGACCAGCAATCCCACTCCTGGGCATCTACTCACGAGAAATGAGACACAGGGCCACACAGACTTGCAGGCGAATGCTCAGAGCAGCTTTATTTATAAAAGCCCCCAAATGGAAACCACCCAGATTCCATCAGCGGATGAATGGAGAGATGAGGGGATATGTCCATTCAGGGGACCACCAGTCAGCACTGAAAAGGAATGAAGTACTGATTTGTGCAGTAGGAATGGAGGAATCCACCACAAAAGCAAACGTTACATCAGTGACACCAGACTACACAGGTGCGATTCCATTTATACAGAATTCCAGAAAGGGCAAAACTGGGACCCAGGCAGGCCGGGGGTGGCTGGGGGTGCCACGTGAGGGGCCACTAGGGAGCCTTTCGGGTAAAGAAAATATTCCCGGCCTGAAGCGTGTTGGCTGCTGGACTACTGCAGACCTCTATCAAGCGGATCAAACTGCCCACTTAGACTGGGAGAATGTTACTATTTCAAGACCAGCTTCAATAATTATTAATACACAAAATCCAATAATAAACACTGTGCCTCTGGGTAAGGTAGACAACTTTTAAAGAAACAGACTCAAACCAGAGAAAATGCTGATCAGTGTACTGGCCCTATGAGCGTAACTGAAGTGCGACCCTGAGACATAACTCGGGTCCGTGTCATCTGGACTGAATGAAAGCCCATCTGGGAACAACTCTCGTTGAGCACCATCCCTTTAACCTGGGAAATACCCCCATCCACCAACCCGGCTCTCCTGCTGAACACGGCTGTGCACTGCTCAGGGTCAGTAAGGGTCACTTATCCCCTAGGGTCAGCCTGCCACAGCCACCTATTTACTACAATTCTCCCGTTTTCAGGCATTGTTTCTGAACGTTTATATGGAACAGACGTACCTACAACTTTTGAAAGCTAGCTTTAGTATATAGCATACGTATTATACTACGCAGTAAAATATATTATGTATTATCCCAGACTATCTAAAATCGATACAAGTTTCGTGTCATACGTTAAATACTCAAAACTAAACAATGAAATGCACCAAGTTGTACGGAAATTGAGACTCCCAACCTTAAAGTGAGAAAATTCCAAGGAGCCATGTTAGTGCTAAGGTTCTAAGCTGTGATACACATAACGCATCACAAAGAAAACTGGGCAGGAACAGCTCCCAAATCTCTATTTATGGTATCAACTTATTTCTCAGTGACCAGAGATTCTGAATTTTGTCTTTGTCACCATAACCGTAAGAGGTGATCCATAAACTGAATACGGGCACCTGATTCTACCCACCTCGGCTTAGTTACAACTGCTTTTGTAATGACCTCAACTGCCATGCCAAACCCAGGTCCTTACAACGAGGGGACAAAACAAAAGCATAGGATAATTAACTGCCACTGTACTTCTCCCTCCCTAGGGTCTGGCCCAGTTTCCTGAACACACCAAGCCTTTCTCTCTCGAGGTGCCCTCTCCCCACTGCCACCCCGAGCCGCCCGCTATGCGAGGCTCCCCAGCCGGCCTGGACGGGGCGGGCATAACTCCCTCCAGGGGTCTGCATCTCCCCCGTTCCTCCCTCTCACAGCACCGTGAGAGCAGCGCTCACTGGTCCCGTCCACCCCCTCAACCATCAGACAGGGCAGACGTGGCGTCCTGTCCACCCCCAGTGCGCTGACATGCAGCGAGCACTGCAGGAATGTGAGCAGAAGAAATGCAGAGATGACGAATACAGAGATGAAGAAGGGAACAGTGGCCTATGCTATCCACACTCCACAATCCCAAGCTCTCCAGAAAAGGCTCTCCCTGGTCTGGGGCCTTGTGAAGCCTTCTCAGGACAATATTTTTAAAGATGGGAAATAAAACACAGGATTACAAAGGGAAAAACATGTTGAAATACAGCAACCCAAATAGAATAATATGCATGCTTCTTTATTAACATGTTAAACGACAAGGTGCAGACGTGGGTACAGGAACTGCTGTGACTTGAAACGGCCATGAGCATAAGCGGAATTTCTAGCCACCTGCCACAGCCAATGGGAGATGAAGTCTGTGCTCTCTGACGGCAGCGGGGCCAGTGGACCCGCTCATAACTGAAGGAAACGCTGCATTCTTCAGATCCATACACTTAAACTAACTGCTCCAAACAGTGGGGTTTAGTTAGAGCTCACCAAATAAGAAACGCTTTATTATGTTTGAAGAAACATTCCTAGAACAAACAGAGTAAGTAGATTTTAAAAATATTTTACTAGGCACATGTGGAATTCTAGAATGAAACTGATGCTTTTACATAGCTTGGCCCCTGACCCAGATCTCTTACAAGTTGGAAAATTACAGATTTTTAAACTTCTTTAGACAACAGGGAAAACTGAAACACTGCAACAAAATTCTTAGGGTCTAAGGCACCCCCAGTGGTCATCTGGAAGGGACAGCAGTGTTTTCACAGACTACGCTTGGTAATGCTAACCTGAGTGTGACTGTGAATTACAGTATTTCTGGGAATACCCCGTCATTCAGCCACTTAAAGTCCACAATAAACTCAGATTTAAGTCAACAACAATGGCCATCAGCTAATAATAAAGAAAATAGTTATTCAGTGTTTCCTACAGCCAGGCATTGTGCTAAGCCTCCTGCCCAACGAGGGGCTGCTCCACAGCTACCCTCACTTTACGAGAGGGAGCTGAGTGACATGCAGGGAGGTTCGCCAGCTGGCCCAGGATGACACACCTGGCGACCACGTCCAGGAGGGCTGGGGCACCGCAGCAGGCACCTCGAGGGAGAAGGGCGCTTGCGCAGTTACAACTCATCACCGCCGACTGCACACACGCAAACACTCAACCACCATCTTGCCGAAACTCGTCACTCCACGTCAGCATCTGAGGACCACCCCCTCCCCAGCCCGTTTACAACGGGAGGAAACGGCCAGAGCAGGCTGGAGGGAGAGAAACCAGGACACCAGTTCCCAGGGCTCTTGACGCTTCTCGGCCCGTGGTGCGTGCTCCGCGTGCCGATGTTCGCACGTGTGTTCGCACCGCCTACGCCGATGCTCCGTGCTAAGGCCTCCGAGGGTGCAGGCCGACTTACCAATCTGCAACAGGATCGGCGTGACCAACGCCGTCTCCATGGCGTAACAGAACTCCCTGCCAAACATCACGGCCCCGTGCATGACCCACAGGCGCACGGGGACCCGGTCTATGGAGCCCTCACTGCCGGTCTCATCGCGGGCCTCCGCCGAGCTTCCGTGTCTCTGCAGGGCCGGGAGGGGCACAGGTGACTCTTGACCTTGCATAGATTCTGAGTCGGCATTCTGCGGAGCCATTTTCATTACCACCAAAAATATATATATATTTACTCTATATAAATAAGACTATCAGATATCTTTAAGGATAAATTAAGACGTCTTCTCTCTCTGCTTCAGTTGTGTTTCTCCGGCAAGTAATACTTATATTCCTCTTTGTACAAACAGATATCTCACAACTTCTCACAATCAGATGAGACACGCAGCAAAACAAAATGATTTTTGGTTGGATTTGAAACATATGGCTTGCTGGTTTACTGCGAATTAGAGTTAAAAATCCATAATTGCCATTCAGTTAATACCAGTTTCATCATTATTATTGAAGAGGTGCTGAAGTTATTTTTCTTGCTACAGAGAGGTGGGAAGGTGACACAAAAAGGTGGTCCACCGTTGCTCCCCATCGAGTGACTGGCTGATCTGCAAAAGAGGAAAACAACCCCACCGGAGAGTCAGACGGGGGCGGCCACCCTGCGGCCTGCCACCCCCTAGCAATCTGGGCACCCCATGGGACTGGCCGGCGGTCACTTAGGAGACCACGGACCTCGGATTGCCTCAGTTCTCTGTGCTTATTCTGAGTCGTCTGTGGAAAAAACAAACCCTAATTTCTAGAGAAACGTTTTTTGTATGGAATTTAATCCTGGGCAGGACAGAGAGAGACAGCCAAGGGAAGCCTGGCCAGGGGCAGTGAGCAGACAGAGAAGCGGAGCGCAAAGTGCCCGCTCTCCCCACGTATGGCCAGCGGGCCCAGGCAGGCGGCGGGGACCCTGCGCCAGGAGGGCGTCTGGGGCCCCTTGAGGTCCGCAAATATCAGGATGGGGAGTGAGGGTGGAGGGGCTGGGGAGGCAGGGAAAGAGTGAAAAAGGAAAGGAGATGCTGCCTGGAGAGGCGGAGGAGGAAAGCGCACAGTGGGAGCTAGGCGGAGCAGGAATGGGGCGATGTGCCGCCTGAAGAGGGAGCTTCAATGCCCACCCAAAGGCGGCTGGAGTCAGACAGTGGGCCGTCTCCAGCGGAGCGGCCTTGACCTCTTCAGATTCCAAGACCTGAATACCAGGCCTAGGGGTTCCCGGACTCCCGACCTGCACATAGCATTCCCAGGGGGCTGTGCAACCCTGCCCCCCAGCGCTCTGTTCCACCGTCCTGGGCCCTGTGACCCGGCTTGGCGACGTATTCTCCACCTGCATGAACGCCCCACAGGAAAGCGTCGAGTGCTAAGAATCTTAACTAGAAACGTTCCCTTAGAAGGGCTTTCAGAAGATGAGGTCCCTCTCTGCCATGCAAGGAAGATCCAGGACGCAGGCACACAGCTGCCCCTTCCAGACTCGGGCCTCCAGGCCCCGGGGCTCCGTTCAATCAGAAGTGCACTCAAATAGGTGACCTTGAAATCACACAAAACGGTGTCCACGTTTTATATTAAGGTAGGTCTGTGAGCTGATACCTTACCAAAAAGGTTTCACAACTGGTTTAAATACAAATATTTCTAGTTTATGTTCAGTTCACCAAAGATGATCTGAATTAGCCCCTTCTCTCTTTCTCCCCAGAAGGGACCAGAAACTGCGGGTCGTCTTCATTCGGTCCCCCCTCGGGAGCCCTGCGGCGGTGGGTCCCAGCTTGGCTGCTGGGCGAAGCTGGAGCTGCTCCCCGCCGGAGGCTCCCCGAGGCCCCCACTCGCAATTCCAGCGTTCCAGCGCCTTCTCACATTCTTTTTCTGGCTGCAATTGAATCTTCCCTGGGAATCACAGGTCCAAGCACTCCTCCCTGTACATTTGCCTCGGGTGTGCCCCAAATTTCACTACAATTCCACACTGCAGCCCTTTCTTGAGATTTCTCCCAAATTTACCAAGTGTCCTCTAGCATATAATTAATATCTCAATTAAAACCAGTGTTTCCAAACTGTCACCCTCCTACAATCTTCTTTAAAAACTTACTATGAAACTATTTTAACATATACAAAGTAAAAAAAAATCATATAAAAAAAATCAGCCGGTGTTAAATCCCCAACCTTCTCCTGCTCTTCCTCCAGCCCACCTTTCATGTGATTCCTAAGACAAAAACGTCACGCTCTTCCTTTTTGTCAATCTTACACCAAGATAGGGTCAATGATTTTTAAATGCCTTTTCCACCAGATAGGATGGATCATTTTTATGTGACAAAAGTGTATCCAGACATGATTTAGAAGTCTAAATTAGGGGCCGGCCCGGTGGTGCAGTGGTTACACGCGCACGTTCCGCTTCGGTGGCCCGGGGTTCGCTGGTTTGAATCCTGGGTGCGGATATGACACCTCTTGGCAAGCCATGCTGTGGCAGGCGTCCCACATATAAAGTAGAGGAAGATGGGCACAGATGTTAGCTCAGGGCCAGTCTTCCTCAGCAAAAAGAGGAGGATTGGCAGCAGTTCGCTCAGGGCCAATCTTCCTCAAAAAAAAGAGTCTAAATTGATCAGCTGGGCTTTTGGCAGGAACAACAGTAACCAGTTTTCTAAGAAATCCTAACGACTTAATTATGAACGCCAAACTCTCCTGTCTCTCTGCCCCCGTCCCACCACTGTATCCATCCCGAGACTCAAGTCTGAGTGAAGCAGTCTCTGCAAAGAGTCATTTCAGCAACAGCCAAAAATCAGGCAATAAAGCTCTGTAGCAAGTACACTCCAATTATTTTAAGGCAACGGTTCTCAAATGGGGACAGTTCTGCACCCCCGGGGACACTGGGCAAGGCCTGGAGACATTTTTAGTTGTCACAGCTTGGGTGGGGGGTGCTACTGCATCTCATGGGGGGGGGCCATGGGTGCTGCGCAGCATCCTACAGTGCACAGGACAGCCCCCAGCAGCGAGTGACCCAGCCCAAAATGTCAACCGTGCCAAGGCTGAGAAACTCTGTTCTAAGGGTATTAATAAAAAGGAAAAAAGTTTTCTTTAAAAATGCTGAAACTCTTAGCACATTTTGAATCAATCAACGAGACCATCATTACAAATTCAACTTCACTACCACTTTTTTTACTGAATCGGCAGTCTGTTCAAAGCAGAACAGGGAAATGCAGGTGAGCTCAAGCTGCAGGCCCCCGCGAAGGGGGGGTGGTCTCTAGGGTCAGGTCTGTAGGAGGGAAAAGGGTGCGAGCTCCTCCCTCTCCAGTCAACTCGCCTCCTCCACAGGGAGTGGCATTTCTGGGTAGCTTATCTTCAACAAGAAAGTAGAGTAAGAACCGCTGGGAGCTGTAAAGAAAGCCAACCGTCGTGGCCTCCTGCCCATCTGCTCAGACTCCGGGTGCTCATCACAGGCCTCCGGCTGCGTCTGCTGAGACGTCCGAGGAATCGGCTAAGAGCCCTAAGCAGGATGTCTCTCTTACCTGGAAAGCTGAGGGGTGTAGAGAACTGGGCTCTTAGGGAGCGAAGGTGCACGCTCACAGAGCCATCAGATCAGCACAAGAGGGTCTCCTCTAAAATGGAAAGTCAGCTACCACATTTGAATTACTCTTAAATGTCTGGAGCTCCCTACTGCATTTCTGAAAATGGTCCCAGGTCGGTCTTTGGAAGAGCGAGAGAAGAGGAGGGAGACAAGCAGCTGGACAGTCCAGCTCACGGGGCTTCCCCAGGGCCAGGACCTCCCTCACCTGTGCGTCTCCACGCGCTCAGTCAGGGGCAGGCAGCCACTGCCCAGCCAGCGCAGCCGCCTAGCTCGTCAGCAGATCTGTTCCACACCTCCAGTGCCCCTGAGTTAGGCTAACGGTCCAGGGAACCTGCATTTCTAGATGCACACACAGGTCCCACTTCAACCTTGGCCCGTGCACAGTCTTCTCAAAGAGGGAAACCTGCCACAGGCTGTGGCACGCGTCTCGAGGGCCCCCGCCTGGGACAGTGCTGTGACTCAGTCCGCAGTCTAGCTCCTGTCCTGACACTGTTTCTGGGTGGCAGAGGGAACGAACCATCCTTCAGGGCAGGATGCCTGCCTCCCTCTCGCTGTGCCCTTCACTCTCTCTCCCAGAGCTCACCCAGCTAACCTCGGCCTGCCCACGGCTCTCACCCTCGCCCTTTAATCTGGCCCTGCCAGCTCTCCCAGTCCTGTCTCCTGCTCCACCCCTTGGCTCTCCCACCTTCAGCTCAAGCCCCACACCCTCAAAACTCTTCTCCAGGCTCAGCCCTCGCCTGCAGAGCAGATGTCCCCCTTGTGCAAAGGGCTCTTCCAGCAACTGCGCTTGGGGAACACAGTCCTGCCCCAGGCAGTGAGGAGCTCCCGTGGGGGATCCCATCCCCCAGCTGTCATCTGCTGTCACATCCCCCACTGTGCCTGGCCATATGGCAGGAGCCCAGTGAGGTTACTGAGAGAATGAACAAATGAATGAATGAATGATGATAACCAGCCAACCAGCGCGTCCTCGGGACTGTCTGCACTGGAAAGCCACCCCCACGCCCACCACCCAGGCCCTTGGGTGGCCGGCTGCCAGGGTCTAGCCTCACAGCACGCTCATGAAGCGGTGGGAGCATAGCGTGCGGTTCACCTGCTACTCAAGCAGTCCAGGCATTAGCGCGGCTCCCCTTCCTCAACAGCGCAAACACAGTGGTGCCACGAACAGGTCTTACACGGGGAACTTCACTGTCACCGTTAGCATCTTCGGTTCGTCTGGGTCTCAAGCAGCAGTCAGTCAGCACAGAAGTCTACCCAGCGTCTCACAGCTCTACAAACTGAGCCACGGAGCAGTCTCAAGCTACGCTGGTGACACCCACACCAGCTACCAAAATCCCCAAGGGCAAGCTGAGCTTTTCAAAAGCGTTGAGGCACCTTTCCAAACAGTAATTTTAAGTAAGGCTCAACTGACTAACAAAAAATCAACTCACGTTAGTGAGCGCTGGATTTCTTCAAAGATACACATTGATGTGACTAACCCAGTTTAAAGTCAGGCACCGTGAAGACAACTGCTCATCAGCAGGAGCTCACTTGGCACAGCCTCTGTCTGCAGACGCTGCTAATTCTGCAAAGCCCTGGGGATTTTATAAGCATTTTAGGGGATACCACAAAACCGTTTAAAAATAAAGTTTA